AATTGTGCGTAACTAGTATCTACAAATGCACTTGTCTAAAGAATCCGCTCCAGATTAAGAGCTTGATACTGCATTATTCAGGTAAAACGCCCACTAAATTCAATTTTGGATGAATAAATACTGCCTATCAGGCTTCAATAATGTTCAGTTTTACAACACTGCTTCACATACATAAATATTGGGCCAGATCCTCAACTTGGGTAAACTGTCATCGCCCAGTTAAAGTCAATGGAGCTATGACAATTTGCAGCTGGAGATCTGGCCCAGGGCATTTGAAATATTGAATTTACATGAAATTATAGCACTCGCCATCAATGTTGTGATGTAGAAGCAAGTTTAAAATTAGTTTTTTTAAATAGCACAAATACCGTAGCTTCCTCATTTTCCCCTTTTTATTCAGTAAAACATTAATAAATACTTCGTATTTTCATTTTCACAGAGCTTTGAATTACCCCCATAGAGGTAGTGTGGTAGGTAATTAACTATATATCCATTCTACAGATGGAGAAATGGAGGAAGATAAGTTAACTGAATTGCTTTAAGCTACACAGGAAGTCCATCTCAGAAGTGGGAATTTTGAACTCATGAATTCCAGGCTCCTAGTCCTGTGCTCTGACCACTTGATCATTAAATACACAGATAAAACACTTCTTGCACTCCTTTTTATGCTCATTTATTTTGCTAAAATTTGGAATCCAATATTGAATTTTTTTAAAAGTGCATTTTACTACCTTCTTGAAAAGCTGAATATTGGGAATAAATGGATAAGTAAAATAAATATTACAGATTGTGTAGCCAAAGATGTCATAAGCTGCAACCGCTATTTTTAGCATTATATTTTAACTGATCTTGCCATACCACAAAGCATTGCTGGTGTTATTGCATCTTTTAAAAGAACCAGAAGAGCCACAAGTTTTTAAAAGGTTAAAATGAGTCGCATAGAGAGAGTTTGAGTTATATGTAAAAATGAAAGTGCAACTTAAAATTAAGAGGTCTTCGTATTTTCACCAAAGTAATTAAAACGTGCAAAACCACCACCTTAACATGCAGTTAACTTTCCTAGCTCTTGAGCAATGACCACCTGTTCTAGGATTACAAAAGTGAAATATAAAATCAACAAAAAACTGAGGAAAACTCTCCAATCAGCTTGCTCAAGAACTCTCTTAATACCTAAAAAAACCAGGAGTACTTGTGGCACCTTAGTCTCTAAGGTGCCATAAGGACTCCTGTTCTTTTTGCGGATACAGACTAACACGGCTGCTACTCTGAAACCTCTTAATACCTACTTTCACCCCCTGTGAATCCACTTTAATTCCCATTATTAATTCTGAAAGTGGCTTTTGCTCCAATTTCAATGTATATGTTAATCTTCCTCAAATTAATAGGGTGATATACAATTTAAGATGAAATAGTGCTAAAAATATTAAATCCCAAAAATCAAAGCATATGCATTTCACAGTCACGGTTTATTTATAATGGCAAATGATTTAAAAAACTTTTCTGAGCATTCTTTTAATATTTAGGCAGTAATGTCAAAAATTATTCCATTATACTCACATAACACGTGCTACATACTAAATGTTATGTAAACACTGACTGCACTTGAAGGTTGTTGAAACATTTTTTTATACTTTGTATGATTAACGGAGACAAACAAAGCACTTTTTGCTTTGAGAGAAAGGTGTTCATGGGCTCTTCCTCTTTCTTGAAGATAAACAGTGCAACACATACTTAAAACTGGAATTATCATGTTTACAGTGCAAATAATAATAAATAATTATAATAAAAATTACAAATAAATGCCTGTAACGTTTTGTGTACTTCACTGCTTTAGCTTTCAGCCAGATGTTTAGAAAGGTCCTTCACTAGCATGTTTGGGGGGAAAAAACAACACACATAAAACAATAATAAGCAGAATTTTAATATTTTCAGTACTTGAATAGTTACTGCACTGTTAATTCCTGTAGTAGTACCATTGTGCCTCAGTTATGCTGAGGATTAAAAGTGTTACTGTCCCTTTAAGAGAGAGAAGACACACACACACACACACACACACACACACACACACGGGGGTGCTCTCACACAGTGTCAAGTGCTGTACACTTTTTACTGCCAGACTTGGGTTTGTTGCTAAGTACCAGTGAAACGCCAGGAGCTCAGAAAATAGGATCCTGCCGCAGTTCAGTCAGGTGTTTTTTAAAGATATAGTAGTTTCTAAGACAGGGAAAAACTTTACAACCATATTTCGAAGTGCATTTCTAAGCCTCTGAAAACAGTCACCAGTTTAGATCAAGGCATTTGTAAAGAGATTCTGAAATGGGTTGAGGGCGATGGCAAGGGCAGAGTTTGCCAAACCCGGTGTCAGTGTGAGTGAATGAAATGGACAGGATGGCAGCATTTTGTAAATTACAGGACTGTCTCCTAGCAACAGACAACACATTCAGTTCCACGTGACTTCCAGTGGCCCAGAGAAAAGGAGAGACAGGCAGATGGGAAAAGAGTAACATTCACTTATTAGTATTTTTTAATCATCCAGCCTCTCCAGTCTGGAAAAGCATATCACTTTAAGAGGAGAGAGGGGACGCAGGGGGTTGCAACTATACAGAGAATTAAGCTAAATTCTGCTTCCCACCTTTTGTATCCAGTTCCACATGGATGATGTTGCCCATGACTGATGTGTTGTGCAGGTGCTGGACGGCTTCCCTGGCACCCTTCACTGTGGCAAAGATCACTTTGGCAATGCCCAGGTGCTTCTTGTTCTTGGGGTTGTAGAGAATCTCTACTTCTTCCACTTCACCATATTTCTTGCACATGTCGGTCAGAAAGTTTTCACGGATGTTGTCATTCAACTTGGCAAAGGTTACCTGCTTGGGAGGCACTGGCCCCACGTAAAACTCATCAATCTGGAGATTTATACAAACACAAAATTAAATACAAATAATTAAGAACCAGGAGGGAGACTGGCAGCAGAAAATTAAATCATTTGGAACAGACAGATAGAGTTAGTCTCCTTAGAACTCTGGGGAAAGAAACTGTCTACAAACAATGTCACACCAGTCTGAAGAGAAATCCAGCCTCTACACTCTCAGAAATTCATATGGAAATGGTTACTTTTTCATCTTAAAAACATATTTTAAGCAGCTATATCAAGCATCAGAGTTGTAACTCAAAACAGGTAAACTGATCCTATCAGACAGATGTATTGATTTCTTTATGGAATAGGATTATTGTTAAACGGTTTGCCAGATAATATTAATACGAATCTGTCATTTAAAGGTCCCATTAAGTTATTTCAAACTCAAGCTCAATTGACAAATAACAAGAATCCAAACTAAACCTAAAGGTTAGTGCAGGTACCTTGAATTTGGGAACAGAAAGCTCCAACTCCTTGGTTTTGGTCCATATTCTTCCTATCCTGGGATCTCTGACACAATCCACCGGAGCAATTCCCGAGTTCTGCAAGGTGGGGTGGAGGGGGAAAACAGAACACACAAAAAACATCAATAATATTGCTAGAAATTTCAGGGGGGCGGGAAGCATACCACAGGGAAGCAGGGGAAGCCTCAGGGGAAGAGAAAAGCACACAAACACGTGTCAAATTGCGATACTAATGGGAAATAGACACAGATTGGAAACACAGAGAAATAAAGCTCCAGGTTTTAGCTCCTTCTTGGGATCCTGACAGTTGAATACATTGTGTCAGGTGGCAGTAACTTTCGAGCCTTTTCCTCCCCCCACCCTCCAACATTTGTTACAACATGAATTATTACAGCATTAAAAAATCCTTTCCCCACAACACCTCCCCTAAACAAGGACTGCTAGAGAGGGGGGCTAGGTAGAGGTTTGTGCGGGGTATATAATTTATTTTAAAAAACAAGACACTTACAGGCATGCTAAAATTTTGCCCATCATAACGATAGAGTTTATGCTGTCCTTTTTTCAGAGCTGGGTCAATAATCAATTTATAACTTCTCCAGTGGTGATTTCTTTTCTCGACAGAAGTGCTGGCTTGTGTGCTGTTCTCCATTCCGTTGATCCAACCTGGCGCGGGGGGAGGGAGGGGAAAAACACAAAGTTTTAAAAAAATGTAATAAAGATCCCATTTTAAGAATCACCCATTAAACCCATCAAAGCTCGGGGGGGGGGGAATACACAAACAGGAAGACTCTAAAATGGGGGAAATCTTAGACAACCCCCGTGAGACAAGAGACAGAAAGGGGAGGAGGGGGGGGGAAAGACCCAATCTCACTTGAACTCTGTTTTTTGCCATGGTCTTCTGGGTGCTTGGCTTTTTCCCCTGCCTTGATCTCCTTGAAAGACATTGAGCGAGGCGGCCGATCGTCTCCTTGCAGCGAAAGGCGAGCTCCTCTTCACATTCGGCTGGTTACATTACACTGCTTTTGAAAGGCTCCTGCCTCCTTTTTTTGCGAGCCAACACATATTGTGTGTGTGCTTTCTGCTTGCTTCTCAGGCATCCCACAATACACCACTATGGAGCTCGGCTAATGGCTAACCGCCCTCAACCGAAGGCACATTCACAGCAGCTGCAGCGCGCCGCGAAGCCCCCAGCCTCGCCGAGCCGTGGCACCTCCCCACCCGAAATAAAGGGCCATGCATTTTCCCGAGCCGACCGAGCCTGGGGAGGGGGGCCCCCCCCCGCTTTAATGGCATGCAGGGAATTCCTTGGAATCTGCGGGCTGCGTTTACCTTAGCGCAAACTGTTTCTAAACAAGATGGACAGAGGTGGGACAAGTTTGGGGGCACTCACTGAGCCTGGCAGGGGCGGCCCGGGGCACGGGCTGAAGGGCTGTATGCCTGGCCCCCCGCTACGTGTGTTCCCGCAGCCCCACCGAGCCCCGCTGGCTGGCGAGCCGCGGTGTTACAATGTGTCCATTGCACAGGACGGGAACCAGGGGGAGAAAGTAGCAGTTTTGCTTATTAAAGGTCCTGGGGTTGCAGCAGCCAATCAGCGTGGAGCTTCCATTTTGTTTGAGCGGTGAAAGGCAGCTGGGGATCTCTCTTTTTGCCTCTTTTCCTGGGCGAGGAGCGTCTCGCCTGGCTTTGGGCTTCATGTTGTTTTAGCTCATCTTGTGCTTTTGGTTTGTAATTTGGCCGTGGTTAGGTAATTGGCTGGTTAAAGGCACCAGGAGCCCGCAGCCAATCAGCGCGCAGCTTCCATTTGGCTTGAGTTATTAGACGCTGATCTAAAAACATCCTTCACCAGACAGCTAAGGAGAGGCCAACAGATCAGGCAGCCATTTTTCTGCAATGGAATTAAATGGCCAACTGGGTTTTCCTTTGTTCCAAAAGGGGATACTTTATTTGAATCCACACCATCCATTTCAGGACTTCTCAGTGTTGTATTAATGTCTGACAACATTTTAAAGGACTCAATGAAGAAGGAAGATAAAAAAGATTTGGATTTTTCCTTATGATTTGGAATCCATCTTTGTCTTGTGTAACTAGGTCATGGCACACCCTTATGTCAGCAGTAACAATTTTGAATTCAAAAATAAGTAAATACATATTTTTGTTTGGGTTTTTTAATCTTTATAACTATATTATGACTGAACAATAAATTTTAAAAAAATAGTTCCTGTATTAAACACTTAATTCCTGGCCATTTTTATTAACTCCTTTGGTGCTTATAAGGTAACGTTTTAAATATAGATTTAGGAATAGTGAATTCTGGCATAAAAATTTACTATGATAAACTTTTTTTCTTTTACATTGTAAGTACCCAATCCATTCTGTCCTTACTAAGTGTAGTTTTCATGTTAATGTTACTGGAGTTGTCCTTATTTCTGAGCCTTCATTTGCATGTCTTATGTTTTTTTGTCTGTTTAGCTAAAACAATTTTATGCTTTTAAAATATTTTATTTATAAAGCAAAATATCTAGCGAGAGATGTTTTTAAAATGTTTACAAACAGTAAATGTTAACCAGGTGTTTTCACACTAACATGTACAGACTAAAATATTTGGGGGAAACATTTTTGAGTTTCTGTGTCGTCTGGAAAGCCACTGGCTGTCCTTTTAATGTACAGAGTAAATCTGTCACAGGAACCTAGATTTAAGCCTCGAGTAAAAGTCCTAACTGGATACTGTCAGTCAACATAACTGGACAACATTTTCTATAGTTTTTTGATGCTACACCATTGCCATATAAAGATCTTTAAATGTCTTAACAAGATACGTTTTGACTTGCAAATTCCCCAGAGAAGTGGGGATACAGATTATATAGCTATATATTTAGAAATATGTTTTAAAAAAGCTAAACAACACAACTTCACCTTGAGAACTGCATTCATCAGTGGTGAGCGGGTAAGTAAACCCTTTTGCCCTTGCAGAGAAACAGATAGCCCAGGCCTGTTCAGCAAATGTTATTGTCCTGGACAGAGAGAGCCTAATTATCGTCTGTAAAAACGGTAGCTAACTTGTTCTTGTGTCATCGATACATATACAGACTATATTAATATATATTTTTCAGAGCGTGATTTCTTTTTCCTCCACAAAGCGCTTGTTAGCAGCTCTGCTTTTTGTGGAGGGAGACTGCGGATCCATGCTGGCATTACATGGCTGTTAAATTGTTCCTCTCTTCTTCGCTCTCTCTCTCTCTCTCTCTCCCCCCCCCCCCCATATCTATTTCCAAACAGTAAGATTATGAAGGAGGATTTTAGAAGACGAAACCCCCTTTACGTGTTTATCCATCTAATTACTGAAGAATCTGGCTCGCGAAAAAACAAAAAGGGACTGTTTTCAGAACGGTGACAACGAGCCTGTAAAGGTCTCGCTAAAATGCGCTGCAAAATCCTTCCCCACGAGACGCAGCTACTTTAGAAACGGTCTGAAAATAGATCCAAAATGAGGGAGGCTGCCTCCAAAGGAGGGACACTTTGCAGCCTGGATTGTTACAGTCGGGAAGAAGTGACGCAGTTGATGTTCACAGCAGTTCTGTGCTTTCATGCAGCTACTGAGCCCATGCAACTAACTCCCAGCTGAGTTTTATTTTAAAATCTGCTAATGCACCAAGCGTATCATGCCTTTGCAGCCCCGTGCCACGGGAAAAACCGGGAGGCTGTCTGGCATTTCAGCACGCAGCTCCAGGTTGTACTCCATATTGTTTGTGAGAGGGGGTGGGGTAGTGGTTCGTAATGGCTTCTTCTTTGCAATGCTGTATTCTTGTCAGGTTTGGGGGCAGCAGCACGTCTGTGTCTCCCAGTGTCTAGCGTTGTTTCTATTTCCGATCATTGCAGGGAGGTGACTGCCCGCCCCCCCCCCTTTGTGAGGCTTGTGGAAAGTGAAGAAGAGAAGTAAGGGGGGGGGGTTGTTTTTTAAGGCTCGGGGAAAAAATGGTTGCCATTTCGTGAAAGCACTTTGCAGCAGCAGAAGGAAGCGAGCAGGGGCTTGTAATCGGAGATCCTGGCAAGGCGCCAGCTAACGCCTGCTGTTCTGCTAGGCACTCCCAGGGGGGCTGGGGGGGACCGGGAGGGGGCGGGGGAGAGAGCGCGAGGAGGGGAGGCCAGGGCTAGGCTGGCAGCTCTCTTAAAGAAACAGGACACTAGCTTGGGGAAGACAAAGCAGCATCGAGTAATGCAGACAAAGCCCTCGTGGCTATAAATAAAACGATTGTTGCTATGAAGATCCTCCTGGTCACTTTTTAAACTGACCGTAGCATAGCACAGGCATTTGACAAGCGAGTGCAATACAAAAATAGCCAAATGGCCAGGAAATGGCATGGGGCACCCTTATCGCTCTAGAAGCTGGTGTTTTCTTTACACAGATCAGGCGACGGGCTCGCTGTCTGGAGTGCAGATGCATGTAATGGGGTTTATGTTGCTAGAAACGTGTAAAGCTATGTAGAGACCGGGACAAGAACTGTGATCTTTAGTTCAGCCCTTTAAACAGTCCCCATAGCTCTTAGCCCATTGTTTTTCAAAGTCGGTTTCACTGCATGTTGCTAATCTTCCTCTGTCCTCTTCGGCCCACAAACAGGGTGGGTCCAACATTGAGATGGGAGGGAGGAGTAGCTGACAGCAGAGTGCATGGCCTGTGCCAAATCAGGTTGTTGGCTGGCCCAGCTTCTCCGCTGACTTCAGGGATGCCGTGCAGGGATCTGTCTGTTCATTGTAGGTCCTGCGGCCATTGTATTACCTATGGTCTCTGCACCACTCTGTGTCCGTGCAGGGGGGTCCTTGCCTTTCCAAAAGGAGTTTTGAGAGGCCTCTCTCCCTCACTTCTCGGCTATTGTCAGCCTCAACTTTTAGTAAATGGAGGGTCATATTAGTCCATTGATCCATTTATATCAACTTACAGAAAGGATCAAGGCGAGAGGCCAGCTCATATTCTGTATTTCTAGGGGAAAAAAATCTAGGGCACTATTGAAACTAGTGTAGGAGGTTTATTCACAGGGAGAATTAACAGACGTCCGTTTTCAGTGCAGTTAAATCCAATATGGGTGGTTTTGATATGCGAAATATCAGATTAAATAGATTTTTCCTACATCTAGCTAAGTATGAGGGTATTGTGGTTGTTTCCAAGTTTATATACTCATTTTGCTGTGTGGGGAGGAGTTCATTTCATTCCACTCCACTCCACACTAAAATTAGATCAGATAATGCAACCAGCCTTAATCAACCATCCAAAGGGCGAGGAAAAACCCAGTTGTAGAGGAGGCCTTCTTTTAAAGGTAGAAGAAAATCATACTGTGAACTTTTATGGGAGGGGAAAAAGGTAAGTGGCTACTTAAGACAGATGCTTGCGTCTTGGAGGTGGGATGCATGGTGCAGAGTTCACTGTACCAGTTTGTGTCTAAAGTTAGTCATTTTTTTTTGTTTTTTGTAAAAGCTTTGGTTTATGTTGAGAGGGTTAAGGTAGGGTAGGGTTGTGCAAATAAGGCATTGCATTTTCATCTTTTTCAAAATAAATATAAGGGTTTATTTTACTCTTAATAGTTGACTATATTTTTATCCATGATCCTTCCGCAACCTGAATCAATCTGTTATACTAGAATAAGCAATAAACCTGTATGTATGTGTGTGTGTGTCTATATGGAATACACAAACATAAACTCCCACGTGAAAATGCCTCTAAAACACAAGGCTTACTTTTAAAATTAGAAAACTGGCTCCCCTGCCTTCCCTCTCCAATGCTGATACCTTTAACCAGCCACCTCTCCTGTCTAATTGGGATGCAGTGGTTCAAACACATTTTTTTTTTCCCTTCCCCTGCTTTTCTGGAATCTCTTTGAAGTCATTATGCACTCTAGCATTCTTGTCCCTTATACAGTGAAACAGGAAACTCTCCAGGCTAATTTCAGAAAGTGGAGTGCATATTTGTATTCAGTAAAATCTCTCTTTGTTAGCAACATGTAAAACTCACGGAGTGCCCTAACCCATGAAGCCATATTCATGTGCATGGCTCTTGCTCGTACCTGTAGTTCTGATCACTTTAAATAATAATTAGTAAAGATATTTGCAGAAACTACTATATAGTCCTTCTTTACCATAAATCCTTGTTAAAATGTTCCTTGACTATTTTTTATTAGACTAGAAGTCAAAACCATTTTAATTTACCGAAAGACAACAAAAGCCAAACAGCATCCCAATCAAAACAATGCTGCTGATTATTTTGTACTATTGTAAAACAGTTCTAGATCTTGCACTATATTGTGCAAGCTGAAGACGTAAGTGATGAATGAGGAAGTGGTCAGTTAATTTTAAGCAACATCTCTCAACTTTCTCGTGCTTGGTTTTTTATTTTTAAATAAATATTAAACTGTTCAGATATTTTAACAAATGTTAAAACCCAAATTACCACCTCCTCCTCCCCAAAAAATGGTTTAACTGAAATTCTGTTCTTCACTTAACTAGTTATACCCAACTATGATTATGGTTTCCAAATAGTGGGTGATTTTTATGTATTAAGGCCCTACTTTTGTGTGTGTTTGCACAACTCTGTCCAAGCACACATCTATGTAGTTACTTTTTCCAGTGCTAATTCCTTTGTGTGCAATTAACCACTTTGCAGCGTGCAAAACCATCACCTGTGTCGTCAGGCAGTAGAATCTTATCTGTTAATTGCCCTAGCAAGTGTTAGTGCTAGAAAAGTGTGTGTGGAGAGTTGCACATATATGCAAGTGAAAGCCAGTGTGATGGTGCACTGAAAACGTGGGCCCAAATGTGCTTCAGTAAGTACCATAAAGTGGGTTGAAGCAGAGATTAGTGGCCTATTTTTCAGAAGTGCTGAGCACCTGCAGCTCTTGGTGAATAAGAGGCTATCTAGCGCCCCTGAAAATCACATCATGTATGTCTGAACTTGGAATTTCCTTGCTTTTGTAAGGTTGTTAAATAGTAAGTGTCTTAAATGTAGTCTAAAAGTTGTTGAGGCAATCTGAGAGCAGTTATACTCTGTAGAGTGGATGGCTTAGCAACCAAACATCAAGTCTGAAACAGTGGGCTATCACTGCATTTTAAATCCCAGAAAGGTCAACGCAGACTTTCTCTGAGTTAGAGTGACTCAGTTTTAGTACACGGGGATCTTTAGAGAGACACCTTAAAAGCAGATTTCTGCTCTGTGTGCTTCCTAATGATTCAATAATGCTCCTTCTCATAGGAACAGGATTTGTTCTTGCCCAACGTATCCCACTGCTTCATTATTGAGCAGCATGCTCTGTGTCAGTTGTCCAAGTGGCTATCATCGCTATCCCAGACACGGTTGCATTTCTGTGACAAAGTGTTATATCTGACATACTCTAGGATGAAAGACACTATAGAAGCAGTTATTTATATGATAAGTTTTATAGCTACCCTGGTAAACATTCATTTTGACTGTATTCAGTCTTACAACTCTTTTATACTCTTTTTATACTGTACCAGTTTTTTTACAATAGTAAATTAGAAACTAGTACATTAGTGCAGTGTCTGTGCAGGCATTTGCAGCTACTCTCATGCGGCTTTGGACAGTAGATTAATAGAAGGACAGAAAGTATCATTGTGATCATCTAGTCTGACTTCCTGCATAACACAGTCCATAGGACTTCCTGCAGCTAATGACTGCTTCAAGTGCAATAATTGTGGTTGAACTAGAGTATATCTTTTAGAAAAATATTGAGTCTTGTTTTTAACATTTCTGGGGTGGAGAATCCATCATACTCTTTGATAAATTGTTTCAGTGATTAATTACACTCATTTTTAAAAAATAATTATGCCTTATTTCTAGTCTGAATTTTTTTTTGGTTGGTTGGGGGGGGCGGGTCCTGGCTTCAACTTCATCCATTAGATCTTGTTATACCTTTTGTCTGCTAGATTTAATAGCCCGGTGTT